GGGAGTCCTCTTTGCTCAGGCCAGCCCTTCCATGTGCTTCTGCTCTACACTCTCTGTAGATGTCTCCACTTTGTGCCCAGTCACTTGAGGGAAGGTGTATCTACCACTACTCAAAATCTTAACATTCTCCAGATAAATTTTCCTGCTTGGTTAAAGGTCAAGTAATCTGGGTCCCCTGCAGACATGTTAGCAGCAGTCTAGTCTTTGTTGAAACTGCATGTAATTCAGGAAGTGTCGGAGAGGAGCTTGATAGTGAGAAGCAAGTTTCAATCTTGTCTTTTTGCAATCCCCTGCTCCCTTTTAAGGCACCCTCTGAATTTCTAGATCCTGACTAGAGAAACAAGTCAAGCCCTAAGTTCCTTGACAGAACACAGACCATCTACATCCATCAGCATATAACTGACCATGTCTTTTCTGGCTCATGTACCAGCTTTGTCTACTTTCTTCTCTTAGGTGATTCCCCACTATTGCCACTAGGACTTATCTTCCAACATGCTATCCTCCAAAATGTAAAAAGATCAAAACTTCTAGGAAGTTCTCCCCCACTTTCCTCATCCAAATGAAAAAAAAGGAATAAGAACAACTTCCATTGTGAAATTTCCCCTAAAGTTTGTCCATATTGTCCTAAATAGAGCCCAAGGGCTTTAATATGTACTTCATGGGCTTCCTTGTACTTCATTTTCAGCATTAAGAACTGTTTCTGGTTCAGTCTGGAACCACTAGCTTTTCTGCAAGCATCAAAGGAAAAGTCCATTCTTCTAGAACAAAACACAGTGTTTAAGGAGCCCTTATGACCCTTTGCAGGCATTTATATATACAGCCCATCATGTTTCCAACAAGAAGAATCTTCATTTTTAATATAGGGAAGTCCTACATCTTTTGATAATTTTCCTTTCCCTCCTCTCCATGTTTTCATCTCCCTGTCATTCCTCTTCTACCTCTGATGATCTGTACACACAAAATTACAAACCCCTTCATCCTGTACATATCAACTCATGTAAATGAATACTTGGGGGCAGGGGGCCACTAGTTCTTCAGATTCAACCAGATTCCCCTGGGGACTCCTACCACAATTATATACACCACCAAAGAGAGTGAATAACAGTATTAAGCTCCAATTTAATATCCTGATAGTATGTTTGGGCTTCAGAGAGAAAAATCCTATTCTATAATATACCTAATCATTTAAAAAACACACACACACACCCCAAAAAAGGCTAATTGGTCCATGTAGGAGGAATGCTGCAAGAAAATGTCATCCTGGTCCTAAACAAAGATCAACTTAATTACTGAAATATGAGGATTGCTATCAATAACACTTGCAAACCTACCATAATGGTCATAGTCTTCGAAAAAAAACTTGAATTTTCTATTAGTAGCTGTAAGCTGCTACAAATATTCCAGTTCATGCTGAAGGATATCTATGGGAGGGTGACTCACTGCATATATTCTTGGTGGAGCTGGGCTATGATATGAGATTATAGTGAAAATAAAAATCAAATAAAATATTCTCACTTTCCACAAGAAAAGCCCAACTACCATTTTTCTCCTCCTACTCTTAAAACATTCTGACTGGATTAGAGTTTCAACTATATGACTTGTTTTCAGGCTCAATTAAATATTTAAACATTTTTCCTAGTATTCAGCTAAAATGAACAAAATGTTTATGGTAATAGTTCTGTAATAACAGAGTTAAAGCCCTAGAGAACCCACTGTAGTTAAATCTAGCAGTGCAAATGACTGGACTGCAGGGTAAATTGTCGATTTTTTTTAACTCATTTTAGAGAGAGAAAGGAATGGGGAGAGGGAGAAGGGGAGGAAAGAGAGAGAGAGAGAGAGAGAGAGAGAGAGAGAGGAAAAGAGAGGGGAAAAAACATGGATTTGTTTTTCATTCATTGGTTAATTCTTGAATGTGCCCTGATTGGGGATCAAACCCACAACCTTGGCATATCAGGATAACGCTCTAACCAACTGAGCTACCTGGCCAGGGCTGTCAGTTCTTTAGAAGCAGCTGGAACCACAAATGTGGGTTATTTTATAAATTGATATAATCAGGAAGCACCATATTGATCTTTTATAACAAAAGATGTCAAATGTTTAAACCTGTTGGCAGTGGTACAAATCCCTATTCATTCCTAGATCTAATAGCAATTACTACAATCTCACTTCTTTCTCCCCAGACCTGATGAAGGGTATGGCTTTGTTTTTTAAATTCAAGTTTCAATAACTTATTTATAAAATATATCATACAGGCTTATAAAAATTAAGATTGAAAAATCATTTTGTTGTACTTTTACCTTTATGTTTGAAAAGGATTGGTATGGCTCCATCAACCTTACTAGAGAAATAATTCACTTTTTACTAAAAATGGGTCAATAATATTTTCCTTGGAAACAAAAGATAGAAAACCATTGTAGAATTAAAGACAATTCTCAAGCTCTTTCTTCATAGGTTGCTGAATCAATTTTCTTGGCTGTTTTTAGTGCCAAAATAGCAGCAAAAAGCTTTCCGTTTCAGATGACTAATTTTATGAGCCTTTCTATGAAATATAGATTATTTCATTGTCAAATCTAGAGATGTGAAATTCTAAAACCATGGGGCAATGGCTTGATAGGTTACTATTTAATAAACTAAAAAAGTAGTTTATTCATCCTCTCTCCCATTTTTTTTTTTGGGGGGGGGAGGCAACCTAATTTTCGGTGGCCTTGTTTCAACAAGGATTAAAAAAATAGTTTATTCAAGTAATTGGTTAAAATCACTATAAATTAAATGAAATTTCATTTGATAGGTCTATGTTTTAAAAATATAACTGGCCGTAACCGGTTTGGCTCAGTGGATAGAGCGTCGGCCTGGGGACTGAAAGATCCCAGGTTCGATTCCAGTCAAGGGCATGTACCTTGGTTGTGGGCACATCCCCAGTAGGGGGTGTGCAGGAGGCAGCTGATCAATGTTTCTCTCTCATCTATGTTTCTGACTCTCTATCCCTCTCTCTTCCTCTCTGTAAAAAACTCAATAAAATATATTTTAAAAATATAAATATAACTGTTCTTTTTATGTGGTTATATATAAGCCTAATAAAATGGATTGCTCCATTGTGTTACTTATTTGTCCAGATCTACTCAGGAGGTCAGGACATTGCTAGATGGGAAACGCCCTTCCAGAGGCTATGTTTTGATTTGGCATCTGGAAGCGAAGTTGCTGAGAGAGGTCAGGTTAATTTTGCTACAAGAGAAATCATTACCTAAAGGAATCGAACTTTAACAAAAGATTTCATATTTTGAATTGAAAGATGAGGAAGCATAGAAACAAGAAATTAGACAGTGAGGTTGATGGCTAAAATAATTCAGAAAAGGATAGTCAAGTGCAAGTTCAAATCTGGTGATTTAGAATCTCAACTTTGAATAGACAATGTGTGTTCATGTAATTTAGCTTAATCCAGGAGGTTCTTTACCCTTCATCCTCATGAAAGAGGAGTTCTGGTTCAGAAGTCAGAGCATTCCTGAAACCACTCATGTTTCTGCAGGCAATGGAGGAAGAGTCCACTCTCTGGAACAAAATAGTTTTTAGGCAGTCCTGGCTGCCCTTTTCAGGCCTCTATTCGCATAGTCAAATCCCTTCATGTTTCCAATTCCAATGTTTTCATTGTTACAAGAACAATTCTCATTTTTTAATCTAGGGAGGTACACTCAGGACAAGACAATAAACACTATTCAATTATGTGAAAGAATTGTTAAATATACACCCAAAGGAGGCTGAAGTTGGTTAGATGCTTTATTATAGCTACATAGGCATGACTATGGCTATTTGCTGCAATTTGCTGAGAATCATATAATGTTCCACAAGATAATGTTTGCAAGAACTACCACAGTATCCAACAAGATCACTAGAATCTAAGACTTGCTCAAAGCCACTCCTTGGGAGTCAATAGCCAGCTACGGGATACTTGACCCCCTGCCCTCACTGGACTGAAGTCCTGATTTTTCCTCTGTATAAATTAGAAGCTCTGAAATTAGAAATAGGGGAATATGGTGGGTTGACATCCTGACAGACCTTATCCAACTATTTCTACTTTACTGTGCAGACCACCTTCCTTAACTGATAACCATGTCTGTGGGCAGACTTGCTTTGAGAAATGTGAGTGAACGCTTCAAAAAGAAAGAAGATGCAACTGCAGTATTAAAAACCCATGCACTATCCATTTGCATATGTCTTATTCCTTCTTTCCTAAATTCTCACTGTACAATAGTATGTGGTTATTTATTAAGCTTAAGTTTGACTCAACTATTATAGATTTACTCCTTCTCCCCACCAAAACAACAGACAATCGTGAGTGGTCAGACTCACTTTCTGAATTCTGCTATCCCAAGCCTCTGACACTGTTGATACTTCATGCCATGGGAGCATGTTAGTCACTACTGGGCTCAAGCGTTCTGAGGAGACTTCAGATCCACTTTGAGTGATGCTAGGAGTTTCTCGGGGTCACTTGGGGAACATGGGAGAGGAAAATAGGTAGAGTATGAGGCCAGGAGTGACTCCCTGCCCCATTCGGGGGCAGTTTTTATTTATATATTGGGCTTTTTCATACATTTCTATCAGTACAAAGAGTTCAATTGATTTTCAAAGGTTTGAAAATGGCTGGTGTGGTACATAGAGATCATAAGGGGACTCAGACTTGGTTAGAAGGCCAGAACCTGCCACTTACTGTAGCAGGAGGGAAAGCACCTCTGCTCCCCAATAATAATCTCCGCACTGCCTACCTCACAAGCTCGCCGTTATGTCGAAATACCACTACGAGTGTGGGAGGCGTAAGAGCTGAGCCTGGGTTCCACTGCAGTTTTCTCCAGCCGGAAGTCCCGTCTCCACGACCTTCCTCACCACCCCGCCCCACACCCCCAACCCCTCACCCCTTACCCGGAAGTGGACCCCGCGGGTCTGGCTGTCCAATCTGCGCTCTAGGTCTTCCATCCACTGGTGGTGGCGTCCATTCCACCCACCAAGATATGGATCCCTCGGGCCTAGAGTCCCACCCTACCCCACAAGAGTCTGACCGCACAGACCTAGATTTCTCTCCTGGCCAAGATTATTTCTCTACTAGCCATGAGTTCGACTCTCTCTACCTAGAATTGGACTTGGACTCTCTTAACGAAGACCTTTCTCAGCCCATGACAGGCGCCATGACAGGGACCTCTGCAGGCGCGTATGAACCCCATCCACCTACCAAACCAGAGGATCTCACAGAGGCCGAGCAGAAAAAGCTCAGGTCCGAGCTCACTAAATTGGAAGCTGAAATTGTAACCCTACGCCATGCGCTAGCAGCCAAAGAAAGACACTGCGTGGAGCTCAAGAGGAAGCTGGGCCTCACGGCCTTGGTGGGGCTGAAGCAGAATCTGTCCACGAGCTGGCGCGAGGTTCAGGTCTCCAACGCCTACATGAAACAAAAGACGTCAGCTGCACTGTCCACCATGGGCTCGGCCATCTGCAAGAAGCTTGGAGACATGAAGAAATCAGCCACATTCAGATCCTTTGAAGGTCTGGTGGGGACAATCAAGTCCAGAGTTGCAGGTGGCAGAGAGCTTGACAATGACTCCCTTCCTTCTTCAGCGGGGTGTGGGGATGATTGGCCCCCAGTTTCGGGGAATAGAGATGATTCACCCCCAATTACAGGGAGTGAGAATGATCCAGTTGCAGGGAGTGGAGATGATCTGGTTACGGGAACTGGGGATGACCTGCTTCCCTTTCTGGAGCAGGAATGAGCTCCTTATAACTTGCCTGGCCACCTAACCAATGCAAGAGCTCCCTTCCCTCATCACAATTGCAACTCTGCCCATCAAAAACAAGCAACCTAACCACAATGGTAAAGTTAATTCAGGAAATGGACAGAGTCCAATTTTGAGAAAAGTAATGTCCATTTTACACAGGTATTTGCTGCTGTTGAGATAGAAAATCTAACGTTTTGTACCTGGTTATTTTACACTAAAGTGTGTAGATCAAATGCATCACCATACTAGCCTTCCTGGGGTTGCATTTAAATGGACAAGACAATGGCTCCAGAGGGGTCTAAGGCCAAAGTCCAAACTCTTTTTTTTGAAAACTAGTCTCATCAGAAGGCAAAGTAGGTTTCTGTTTAAACTGGGAAAATGTATAAAGTAGGCTATAAATCTATCTACTCTCCATCTCCTTCCTTCACTAAATCTCAGAAAAAAACTTGAAAGCTTCAAATAGTCTGATTTTTATTTTAAAAAGATGTTCAAGAAAACATTTTTTAAAAAAGAAAACATGTTTTTTTCTCTGAGACCCTCAGAAAGGGAAAAAATATTAGTAGACTAATTGTTACATAATACTATAACTTTTATAAAACTCCTAATTAAGCAAAGTAACTTTAGCTTCAGTTTAGTTAACTACTTTGGATTCAAGCCAAAATTGCAACTTTACTTTGCCTTAAGCTGTGTTCTTTTTATATAGCAAAATGAGGGTTTTAAAGTTTAATCTTGTGGCAGCATGTCTCTGCTATAGCAGCATGCCACCTAAAAGGGAGAAAGTTGCTCCTCAGTTCTGCAGCAATTCCTAGTTACCACCTCCAGCTGAGGGTCTGGAGGGAAAACAGCATAGTCACATTCCAGAAAAACCCCTCTCTTAAGCAACATTTAAAACAGAACGCCTATCCCCTGTAATGCTGTCTGTTATCCCGTTGAATGGGATAACTAACTGATTATACATCACTGGTCACCTTGACTCCAGGTCTGTCCTTATTTATAGCTAACCCCAACTGAAAGGAAACAGAATCCTGTGAGTTTGTTTGAACTTTCTCATATCTGATTTTTACAGGAGTTATGATGTTTTTTATTTTTGTTTTCCTTTCCCAATTTCAAAATGCCTGGACCTGGCAGCTTCTTTCATTCCTCCAGTTCACACTGCCTGAGGTAAAAGTTTATGTCTTAATGGCTTTCAGCAGGGGGACTAGGACACTTATTTGCAGCTGGTATACATTGATAACATTTCACTGCCTAAAGGTAGCCCCTCCAGCCTAAGAAGATGATCCCGTCCAAAGACAGAGAAACAGCGATCAGACTATCAATCCCCAGAGGGAAAGTAGGGGAGGGTGGGGGTAAGGGGAAGAGATCAACCAAAGGACTTGTATGCATGCATATAAGCCAAACCAATGGACAGGGACAACAGGGGGATGAGAGCATGAGTGTGGTGGGTTAACCAATAAAGAAATTTAAAAAAAATAAAAATTAAAAAAAGAAGATGATGATGTTTTATTGATTCTTGAAGGCTCCCCCTATATCCCTATAAGCAAAACCAAATAACCACTATAAATGCAAAAGTACTTGGTAAGCTGTAAAGTCAGTAATGTATCCCAACCCTCCACAGATTTCTGAAGATAAAGTTTTGCTTGGATTAAAGTAAGATATTCAACTATTTTTTAATCTGTTGTGTTTATCAACTAAAATGATTTTCTATGCTAAAGAACTGGAGACAAACTTGCAGCATGCATAAAGCCAAAATACTCCAACAGGCAAAGGCTTTGACCCCATATTTCAGAAAGCCTTGTGTTTGAGAAAAATCTCAGACTGACATCACGAGCCAAACCAGAATATGTTCTATTTAATTTAATAATTCAAATACATGTAGTAACAGTTTCTCCAAATAAATCCTCAACTCACTGAGAGCATTAAGAACATATCTATCTTTGTTCATCATTGTATTTCCGTGCCTGGCTCAGGGTAGACATTCAATAAATACCTTGCTGAATTAATGAATTAGTATCACATACTTCAGACATCAAATCTTTGACCCAAGAGATTATCAACAACATGAACTGGTTGACAAGTTCCCTATTCAAAGACAATTTAAGACTCTACTTACATGTCAAGCTCTGAAAGAACATAAATTAATTAGACATGGTGAATGCTCTCTAGAAATAAATTTTCTAATTGTTATAATTCACTTCAGTGGGTGCTAAAATAGAGGAAGTCTGTGAAGAAAGAGTATTCACCTCTGCCTTGATAGGTCAGAAAAATTCAGACAGAAAGCCTTAAAGGACATAGTAGGAATTTGCCAGACATATAAAAGTAGAACATTCCAGACAATAGCCAGAGGAACTAAGTCAGGAAGGAATGTAATAGAATGTCATGTTTCAAATAATACCAATAAGCCATTGTGGCTAGAGAGAAAGGATACGTGGTGAGAGATAAACAGGGGCAAGATCATAGTCATATATACTAAATCAGACATTAGTATTAATCCTGTAGGAAATGGGGAGGAAAGTACTTAAATTAAATGTGTGTTTCTGATAGATCACTCTGGTCATCATAGAAATAGATTCAGATGTATTTAATAGGCAGAATCTCCAAGACTTAGGAAACAACTGAATGGGCAAGAAGGATGGATAGATTTGTGAGTTGATAAGGATGTAGAATTTAAAAGACTTGATACTAACAATGCTGGAGCTGCACATTCATTTTGCTTTGGTTCTTTTATTGGATTCCAGCATATCTCCACCAATAGCCATGTACACCAAATACATGCCTCCATGGGCATATGGACTCTTAATTAAAGGTTTCCTCCAGATCTCCTTTCTTCTACTTGCTTCTACCTTTCCTATGTATTGCTTACCCTCATTTTCTAGCCTATCTACCGTAATAATTTGATAACCTTTGCTCATCTAGCCCTATTTGCATGTTGGAGCCTAGCTTCAATCTATTTAACCGTAACCTGGCCACTTCCAATAGGATACAATTTCCAACAGTTCTTAGAATATGTGAATCTCCAAAGATGCTCCATATCTGGATCTGGCTCTACTACAGTGAACCACTAGTTGAGAGGAATATTGGAACAAAATTCCCTGAATCTCCCAATTTTCTTTGTCTTCCATCACCCAGATGAGTGGAGTAGGAGTGGAAAAGTAGAGACAAGGGTTGAAAGTTCTAATTCCCTCCAGATGACACTCCCCATGCAGCTGGCAAGAGAGGGAACAGAGTACCAAGCCCTTGTTTATTAGCATCATAGCATACCCTGGCATACTGCTATCATCACCCCCAGAGAAATTCACCAGAAACTTCTGGAGACTACTTTACTTCTTAGCTCCAGATTTGAGAGAAACTATATTACATACCTTCCTTCATGGACTGAAAAGAGGTAAGCAACCATCAGTGATCCAGAACTATGTAGGTCTTCTCACAGTGGTAAGGTACTTGATAGCCCTACCCACCAAGAGAACAATGATGCCATTTGTTGATACTGTTAGGGGATAAGGTCAGTTGCATCTGAGCCATGGAATTTCAGTTTTTGCCCATTAACTCCACTGTAATAAAAAAGGATGAGTGTCACTGTATCAAAACTACTGGGGCCTTGCCCAGCCAGTGTGGCTCAGTGGTTGAGTGTCAACCCATGCACCAACAGGTCACCTGTTTGATTCCTAGTCAGGACATATGCCTGGGTTGCATGCCTGATCCCTAGTGGGGTTGTACAGAAGGCAGCCGATCAATGATTCTCTCTCATCATTGATGTTTCTATCTCTCTTCCTCTCCCTTCCTCTCTCTCTAAAAATGAATAAAAACACATGTTAGCCCTAGCTGTTTGGCTCAATGGATAGAGCACTGGCCCACAGACTGAAGGGTCCCGGGTTCAATTCCAGACAAAAGCATGTACCTCAGTTGCAGCCTTGATCCCCAGCCCAGTCAGGACATGTGTGGGAGGCAACCAACCGATATGTCTCTCTCACATTGATGTTTCTCTCTCTCTGCCTCACCCCTCCCTTCCACTCTCTCTCAAAAAAATCAATGGAAAGATATCCTTGGGTGATGATTAACAACAACTATATATATATATGACATACTACTGAGGCCTTAATGCAATCATCATTTGAGACCATGTCCCACTCCTATTGATGGGAGGCTCAATGATGCCACAACTTCCAGTGCCTAGCATTGTTCACATAAGGAAAGTGACAAGTGAAAGAATGCCTTCTAGGTGATGCACCTTGGACAGGTAGTATGAACACATTATCATGTCACTTGGTCATCTGTCGGAAATTACTAAGCAGGTCCCTAAGTTAAAAATGTCTGACAATTCCTGAAAGTTCACCAAGTAGTTTAACGTTCATTTTCGGTTTATCTATACTACCACTCAAATAATTGACCACCTCAAGAAGGGAAGTAGGTTCTTCTGGAAGATGAAGGTTTTGGTCACTTCAACCCCAGTCATGGCTACCTGGCTTCATACCATAGCATCAAAACTGATGCATCCAACATGGTGCCACATCTCCAGGAAGACTTTCCTTGTAGAGCCTGGTCCATTCTAGACCAGTGGTTCTCAACCTTCTGGCCCTTTAAATAAAGTTCCTCATGTTGTGACCCAACCATAAAATTATTTTCGTTGCTACTTCATAACTGTAATGTTGCTACTGTTATGAATCGTAATGTAAATATCTGATATGCAGGATGGTTTTAGGCGACCCCTGTGAAAGGGTCATTTGACCGCCAAAGGGGTCGCAACCCACAGGTTGAGAACCGCTGATCTAGACTTTATCCACCTTCATGTATTATCTCCCATACCCAAAAACCTGGGCTCAGAAGCCAGAGCACATAGAACTATTAAACACCTGCTGGTTGATGCCTTGGCTGCCTTTATGCTTAACTAGAGGCCCGGTGCATGAAATTTGTGCATGGGGGGGGGGGTTCCTTCAACCTGGCCTGCACCCTTTCCAATCTGGGACCTCTCGGAGGATCGGGCCTAAACCAGCAGTTGG